TTTGTCTGCAGCATTTGTAGGAACAGCAAAAATGACCAAATTTGATTATTAGTCGACCTGATACAGTCTGATACAGTACAGGAGGTTCATTCTTGAATGGTTTTCCGAAGAAATGAATGACCATTGAATGTTTATGAAAGCTGTACCTCCCAGTGTGCCGTTCTTATCTCTCAGCTAATTTTCAATCCTTCTTGTAAGCAGACACAGCAGTGAGCAAGGTTTCGAGGTATGAATCTCGAACTAATTGAATTTGAAGACAACCAGAAGAAAGAACGGTTGTTGTTTGTGAGCGGGAGGTCTGGCCCTGCCCCTTCTGTGTGCATGCCCTCAGAGCACCACGCCTTCATTCTCGCGTAAGGATCCGCTGCAACCGAATTTCACTGCTTCCTGGGCTTCCTATCACTTTCTGGTGGTCTAGGTATTCTGGTGGATTTTACTGGGAGATTGAGGTTGACTGAGGATAAGGCTGTGGCTGTAGAGGAGCTGATAGTGATTCTTGACTTCTCATTCTAAGGTACGCAATACCCTATTAGGTGACGCGGCAGCACTCCCACCCCTTCCGCCGCCATTCCTTGACTGGTCGCCAGCCCTGACACATCCTTCCCCACCATGTCGCCGACGCCCAAATTCTGCTTCTAAAGATTGTAATTCGCTGTTTATGCACGTTTATCGATTCTATAACCGACTGTCATCTGTGGACACAAGAAAACACGCAGCTGCGCGTGTGTCCTCTTCTCTGGCCGGAATCAGCGTTTGAGACACACGGCGACGGGCGCGAATTCTCTTTCGCTGAAGGCGTCTCGCGACATGCGGAAGGCAACTGCCGTCGCACTATCACCTTCTGTAGCTAACCTATTGGCAGCTCAGCGTATGCTCGATCTCGAGGAACCGCTCGTCAAATCGAAGAAGTATCCGTTTTTTAAGACACCTAGGATCGGTTCACGACGGATTCGTAATCGTCTCGTGCAGAAACAGGTATCGAAAATACTCAAGCTTTAGCTCAGCCATATCTCTGCTTTTTTTCAGGGGATATGTAATATAAGTCTCAAGAATGTACCAAAACAACGGCGAAAATACTTCAGGTAAGCACGAAAATATATGTCAGTGCATTCTAATATATCGACTCATCCGATTTAACACGCAATATTGTTTCTGATTATGACCGTATCACCATGCTGTTTGGAGAGAAAGAGTTTTATCTGTAAGTAAAAGAAAGAGTAAAGAAATCCAACAAAGCGGTTCCTTTCATGGAAATTTGAGACAGCGAGCTCACCTTTTTGTTTGCATGGGCTGTCTGTATGGACTGTATCAGCTCAAAAGAAATTCGTTTTCCATTT